TGAAGCACCATTGGAGTTCATAACCCAAGATATTTGTTAACCAAATGTCCTGCACAACAAGATTGTGCAAGTACTACAATTCCAGTATGATACTAGGATGCATTTAACTCTGACTACTGAAGCACCATTGGTGGTTTTTGACGTTTTTGGTTAACAGTTAGTCTTTTTCTTTCCTCGTGACTTATGATTGATATATAGTAGGAAGTATTCATTTAGCATTGACTTTTGATTTTCTCTAATTTGAAATTATGTATACTGAGGCTAATCAATCCAGTATGACTGTAATAAGGTCAACCAAACCAGTATGCTGATACTACAGGGTCTTTTGTAAGTTCTTGGAAGATCTGTTTTTGAATGGAGGCGGACGCTATATAAACAGCTATAGTAGGCTGCAAGTGCTACTCTGTTCCCAGGAGCATGCCATTTTGGTTCATGGTCTCCACGATGTTCTTTGGATCGTTATTTTCTTCATGACATATTCACAAGTATCATGACAGTCTACAGGAATATTCTTTTACAAAACTACCCATATCATGAGCATGTATGTAGTCAATTCTGATATTTTATCAATAAATTATTTGTCATAATCAAAATTGTTTGCTGCATGCAGTGGTCATATTCCTTTGTGAAACCATTAGGGTATTTTTTCTTCTCTGAATTATTTGGCAATGTCACTGTTTTCTATGTTGCTTTCACTATTTCCAGCAGTAGATGTAATCCCAACATAACCTTGTTTTCTACGGTTTCATTACTCATAAGTTTACTCAGCACAGCTGATTTGACTAAACTAATTTCATATTGCTTTGTACAGCTACAACAGGCCAACATTATTCACATGTTCCTACCTTTGGGGTGCAATCTAAGCCTTCATTTGGGGCCTTTGGCCGTAAGTTTTGTGGTTTCTTTGTGCTTTTCATTCAGTTCATCATGTATTCACAAATTATAGTTGACCCAGTCTCTTACATTTTCAGCTGCTATCATTAAACATACTCCCTCCGATCCAAAATAAGTTTTGCGGTTTTAGTTCAAATTTGGACTAAAACCATGTCACTTGTTTTGGATCGGAGGGAGTAGTTGAATATGTAAACTGGGCTGTGCATTGTAATTTGTCAACGCACTTTTAAATACCATTTTTGTTTTACTATTTGTGGATCTATTGACTCAAAACGCGATGCAGTAATCTGATCCTAATATTCATGCAAGTCTTTACATGATCTACTTTGTCTATTTGTTATGGGCAGTAGTGCCTTCTATACAATAACAATACACCTTCAGTGGTGATTAGTAATGGAAGTAGTTAGCTTATTTTGAAATAAGAGTTTTAAAACTAGGGAAAACCACTGGTCAAATGAGTCTGACCTTTTTCTTTGAATACGGCTGGTTTAAAGTTTAGTTGACTTATTGGTACTTACTTTTTTTCAATTTGATGTAAATTTTTCTTTCTTTGAGTTGAGTTATTATGAGATTTTATATGTTATTTCACTGTTTATTTTTTCACATCTTATTTATGTAGGAGTGTCTAAAAAAGGCAGCAGGGTTTCTGCTTATACCAGGACTCTTGGTGATGATCCTGAACGTAATTACTATGTATCTATTTCAGCAATGCCAGCATTCAAGAGCAAATCTCACGAGGAGCTTCGACATGAAGATTATAAGAAAGGAGACAAAGGTAAGATATTGAGTATTTCCAACACTTTAGACTCTTTTGTCCTGTTTAGATTTTTCATAAGTTCTATGAGGTCTCGGCAGGTTGCTGTGATGGTCAAGATCAGTAGGAGTTATGCACAGAAGGATAACTTGCAACTCAAGACATATAATACATCCCATAGTCCTAACTTTCTTATTGTACTCCCTCCGTTTCTAAATATAAGTATTTTTAGAGATTCCAATGGACTACATATGAAGCAAAATGAGTTAATCTACACTTTAAAATATGTCTATATACATCCGTATGTAGTCCATATTGAAATCTCTAAAAAGGATTATATTTAGAAACGGAGGGAGTACTATTTACTCTAATACTTAATTGATTTTCTTCCAAATTTATCTTCAATCCTCTAGAGACCTAACCTAATGTGCAAGAACTTGACTAGTTCAATTAAAGCAACACGGTGCTGCTCTTGGTGCCCTGGCTGCAATCTGGGGCCAAAGAACGTGCATGGACCTTATATAATAACTGATGGTTAATAATTGTTGAATCTTTTGTTTTTTCATTATGTACTTATTTTATTAGTTTATATGGTTCTTATTACTAATCTAGGTTTGTATGTTCCCCAGGTGGTTTCAACTCAGAGGAGAGCAGAGTTCCTTGGGCTCATCATTCCTCGCAGCCTCAGCCCCAGCCCCCAGTGAATGCCTTCACAAATCCTGTCAAGCCATCATTGTTTTCATACTCTCCTGAGCCATCCTCAGCACCTGTGGGACTGCAATCCTCAGCACATGGTACCACCAACCCATTTTGGCTGCGCCCTCCAGGACCACCCCAGTCACCATTATTCTCATACCCTCCCGAGCCAATCCACAAGCCATCATGGTTTTCAAGCTCCTCTTTTGCACCATCTACTACATGTTGGGAAAACGTATCCAATAACACAGCAGCATATACAGCTCCTGCAGATACATCTTCTGCTGTAAGTATTCCTATAGAAGATTATTCTTTCAGGATGCATTTCATTCATAGGAGTTGGTATGTGTTCTCATTGATTAATTGTTCTGATTGAAGCAGCAAGGCCATATGTTTAGCCAAAATTTGTTCCCTTCAAAATCTACTCAATCTGGTGGAAGTTTACTCAGCTCTTCGGTTGCCCATTCAGCACCAGCTCCATCGCCAAACGGTCACTCCACTACTGTAGGTGTCACTGAATGGCTATATTTCCTGGCTTTTTGTTTCTTTATCTGATTTATTATTGTCGTCCTTTCCAGATAAATATTGATCAAGCTGAGAAAACTGTGGAGTTGTTACTACCAGTTGACATTACTACTGTAAGGATTAGATTTTCTCCAAAGAATGATGATACTGGCAGTCGTGCTACAGAGGTATGGCAATAAATATCCATAGCCCAGAATTGTGTTGCACAGTAAAACGAAATCTTGTGGACCTCTTCAAACATGTTTGAAGCCATATATGCTCACACGTTTAGGCTCATGAATATTCAGATAAAATGCTCCCAGTCGCTTTTTATTGCACCCAAAAAAATTGAATCTGTCCATTTCGAGTACCCCATAAATGAAATCCACATGTCCTTTTGCATAGGTTCATCATAATGTTAAAGCTTCAGCAACACCAGTGTCTTTCTGTATCTATCCTGGAGAGAACCAAGAGCTAACTATACAATCAGTGGAGCAGCATGACGGGAAACCATCTAGTTCAACAGGTAGATACTCCAGAAATTACCAGTGGTATTGTATCAGTTTCTTATCTTCTGGTACTAGTTTGTTCTGTAGACTTCTGATAGGTTGATGCTACATTATTTTTCCTTGACTTTTGATACTGCAATGTTTTTGTAGCAGTAATTTTCATTATAAGCATGATGTGTTTTTGTCTTTTCTATTTCACATTGCATCACAGACTTAAGTAGATGCAGGTTCAAGCAGAGTAAACAATATTTTGTTTTCCACATTAACTAGATACGCACATTTCTTGCTATAAAATGGATCCACTGTCATGTTCTACTTGATCCCATGGGAAAATTTATTGAAATAAGCTTTTGTTGCTTCATGCTAATAATTTGAATAAGCAAAAGAATTTACTAGCATCTTTACAGTGAAGATTCCTAGGAGTATTTTATTCAAATAAGCTTTTACTGTTTCATTCTACAAGCAATTCTTCACTGGCACGTTACAAATTTACAATGAAGAATCCTAGGAGCAAACCAAAGTTCTCCATTAGCACTTGTGGAGCCCAAATGTCAAAATATTTGATATCTCAGAACCGAAGCTACTTCATCCTATTTGTGTTGCCATATGATATATGCAATTGAGTTACTGACATCTTGTTCACCATCATCAGAATCCGCTGGGGAACAGAAAGGGTATATCAACGGTGCTAATCCATTTGATCCTGTGATAACTCCATTTGGTGGCGCCTCTGTGAGTGAGAGTGTCCTACCTCGGCTCTATAAGGCAGACTATTACACTTCGCCGTCGATCGCAGAGCTTGCTGCACGAGAAAGCAACGAGCTAGGTTGTTGCTCACATGTGAAGGACTTCACGGTCGGCAGGCATGGCTACGGCAGCATCAAGTTTGATGGAGAAACCGATGTGAGGAAGCTCGACATCGCTTCCATCGTGGAGTTCAAGGACCGCGAGATCCTGGTCTACACAGATGAGAGCAAGAGACCTCCTGTGGGGCAGGAGCTCAACAAGCCTGCAGAGATCACACTCCTGAATGTGAAGTGCGTCGATAAGAAGACCGGGTTGCAGTTGACGGAGGGGGCAGAAGTTGACAGGTATACGGAGATTCTGGCGCAATGGACCAAGAAGAATGGCGCTGAATTCGTGGCGTTTGATGCCGTGAATGGGGAGTGGAAGTTCAGGATCAAGCACTTTTAGTCAGTAGCTAGGTTCTTGGCAATATTAAGATTCCAGTCGCAACCAATACCATGGCTCTGTGGCTATGTAAAAAAAAAAAAAACTCTGTTCCTGCATCTTCTAGTGAGTCTCTTTGTTAGTCGACAGGCAGGCCTGTCAGAAACAATTTTAGATCACTTTTTCTTTTCCTTTCAGTGGCCTGTAACTGTTTACTTCTACCACTTTATCAATGAAAATCAGCAATCTGCTGCTTTTTCGTCAAAAGAAAAACAGTTTTAAATGTGTGGCTGGACTATATATTTGATTGTTCGTATGATATCCACAAGCTTGTGGGACATATGAGCACACATCTTTATTTCCTCGAGGAAATCTTGAGACAAGCTAAAACTACTCATCAGAGACACAAACTAAACTCTCAAATCAAGCCTCTTGTGGCCTACAGAGAAGAGAAGACGCACAGCCAGCCAGCCTCACCTCTCTGGCACCGGCCTAGCCGTAGCCGCCGCCGCGGCCGTGGAAGACGCGCACGGATGCACCCTGCCGGCGGCGGTCCATGAGTCGCAGTTTTTCTTCTTGATCTTATCTCCTTCACCGATACTCTTCACGGTCGTCTTCTTGGCGGCTTCTTGTTGGTTGATCCTCTGCCGGATCTTCTCCTGCCGCACATGTATCTGCGCATAGCTGAACCCCATGGAAGCCATGTTTGACCAGGCGCAGCTGAAAGATGCAGGCTACTCCAGCTACCTTCCTCTTAAAGCAAGATATAATCGGATCGTGTGTAGATGCTTGTGTGTGCATACATATGGATACGGGTGTATTTATATGCGCGGGCTGCAATTATTGGGGGGCGGGGCACCGAGTTTCTTGATGATATCCGGTGTGGACTTATCTCCTCTGGTGGTGGTAGGCGGTAGGTGTCGCCAGAGGGAGAGGAATTCGGAAGCAATCACAAACAGCGGCTGCCTTTTCTGCTTGCAGGGTTGCAGTCGCAGGCGCTGCTGGCTGCGGGAAACGGTTGCGGAATTATTAGCAGCACTACCTGTGGGCACAAGCAAACGGTTTTGTGTTCCTGGTGGGCTGCCGGCTGCCCAACTTTCGCCGCTTGTGCCTCTACGCGACAAGTTTCGATGTTGCCTTTGCGACTTCCCACTGACGCGTCTATATTTGTCTATGGAGTAGTATAATAATGCATGAATGGATGATTCCATCCGACTAATGATATCCTGGTGGAAAGGAACAACTGAGTCCCTGACTCCATGTATGCTTTGGTGATTCTGCTGGGCGAGGTTAAGTAATGGAAGGATATTTCCAGGTTAAAAGAAACTAATCACTCGCTTGCACGCTGATAATTGAGCAAACCTTGAGCTCGGTAGGTAGGCAGAGGAAGGCTTTTGTTTGGTGTATCACATATATAGCCGTGAATGAAGCAAGTGACACAAAGCCCGTCTAGCTCAGTTGGTAGAGTGCAAGGCTCTTAACCTTGTGGTCGTGGGTTCGAGCCCCATGGTGGGCGATTACTTTTTCCCTGAAAGAAAATACAAACGAGCCTAGATATGTACACACACACAAAATAAAATAATGTCACTCTAACACATGTACTATTTGCGTATTTGATCTTGAAACTTTATAGATATGTACTATACACCTCAATGTTCTTGTGTATTTGCGTATTTGACCTTAAAACTCTGAAAGTTAATTTCATGTTACAAAGGCAAATTACTTCATACGTAAGAGTTTGGTCCAATGTAGAATTGATTTTTCTTATTGAACATGCTTGGAAGCATTGTGATTTTCATCAAGAAAAAACCTGAACGATGATTGAGCGAATAAATATACACCAATTTACAAAAAGAGCATTGCATCCGACAAATAGTGCTTTTTCTAGAGCGAAACTACAGAATATAGGGGTAAGCTGTCATTAGAACCTGCAATCGAATTGGCCAAAGAGAAAGTTGACGGACAAGGCACATAACAACGCCTATGGACTCGTCGTGTTGACCATAGGCCTTGGCTCAAGCTTCTCTGAGCGAAACATATAAATAGCAAAAATCATAAAGCACATGTTGGTGTTGTGGCCCATCAACATTTTCTTTGGAATTATTTATTGTTTATAACCAAATATTTAACTCAATTTTAGCTTCACCTGCACACAGGGAAAAAAACTCAATTTTAGCTTGGCCCGGTAGCCGGCTCGCTTAGCTCTGAAAAGATTACTAGCAGTACATTTTAACCAAATATTACTAAAATATTCAAACTTGTCAAATGAACATGAAAACATTCTAGTAACTCAATCAACCTTTCTTGGGTTAACTGTGAAATTATGAGCACATTAGTTTGGTGTAACAAAATCTAGAGCCATGTCTTGCTTCAATCTCCTCGAGTAAACTACCGACCAACAAAGGATGCCTAGCTAATCTAGACCTAGCACAACACGTGGAGATAACTGTGCGTTCGGTTTATTCGGTTTACATGATTCGGTTTATACGGTTTTTCGGTATGTACGGTATTAATACTTTGATAAATACGGTATGAAATTAAAATACGGTTCGGTTTCGGTATATACCAAATTATTTCGGTATGGTTTCGGTATATACCATAAAAACCAAAGTTGACGCGAATTTGAAAATGACATAATAATAATTTGCAAATTTATGACTCAAAACACATTCTATTTTACACAAATAGTATATGACTATATATATAAGTATATATGCATGCATTGATTCATCTGTTGATGGTTATGGACGTGCTTAGCATTTTAAAAAGAGAAAAATGACAATGTTACAAGAAAAATGTAGGTGCTTAGTAGTGAATTTGACTCATGTACAAGAAAAATGACAACTTGTACGGTTGTTCATCTCAAGAAATATAAATTTATCTTTTACTTCGGTTTATTCGGTTAACCATTCGGTTTTTCGGTATATACCATAAAAACCAAAGTTCAAATCGGTATGAAAAGTTCATACCATACCGAAACCAGAAACCATAAAAACAAAAAAATCGGTTCGGTTCGGTTTATTTTCGGTATGGTTTTTCGGTTCGGTTTTAAAATGCACAGAGTGAGAGATAAGAGCATCTCCAGCCGTTCGGCCCTTCAGGGCGCCGAAAAAGAGCGGCCTGGGGTGGTTGGGCACCCAGCCGTCGCCCCCAGGCGCCGATTTCGGCCCAGTGTTCGGCCCAACTGTGTCCAAAAATGGCCCGATATCTGCGTGAATTGGCCCATATTCGGTGCGGTTCAGCGTGAATTTTCGCATACAAATAGAAATCAATTAGTTTGTCACATAGTTCGGCATGGTTCGACGTGTTTCATCACATAAATCAAATAGTTCAATACAAATTATATAGTTTAACAAATAAAAACTCAAGTTTCATCACAAGTCATTCCCGCGTCGCCCCGGCCTCACCCTTGAGCCTCCATAGGTGCTCCACCAGATCGTGTTGCAGTTTTTGATGCACCTGTGGGTCTCAGATCTCCTGACGCATATTGAGGTAGTCAGTCCAGTTTGCCGGTAGCTGGTGATCAACTTGGACAAGAGGACCCTGTCTGTAATATGGTTCAGTGTCAAACACTGGCTCTTCCTGCTCGCTCTCAATGATCATGTTGTGCAAGATGACACAGCAAGTCATGACCTCCCACATTTAATCTTTCGACCAGGTCTTAGCAGGAAACCGGACAACAACAAATCGAGATTGGACCACACCAAATGCCCGCTTGACATCCTTCCTGCAAGCCTCCTGAATCTTCGCAAACCAGGCGTTCTTGCCTACTGGCACAGGGTTTGAGATGGTCTTCACAAATGTTGACCATCTCGGATAGATGCCATCAGCTAGATAGTACCCCTTGTTGTACTGTCGCCCATTGACCTCGAAGTTCACTGGAGGAGAATGACCTTCAACAAACTTGGCAAAGACCGGGGAGCACTGCAGGACGTTGATGTCATTGTGAGTTCCTGGCATCCCAAAGAAAGAGTGCCAAATCCAGAGGTCCTGTGTGGCCACTGCCTCAAGTACCACACTGCAACCGCCTTTGACGCCTTTGTACAACTCCTGCCAAGCAAATGGACATCCATTTTGAATGCATGCAGTCGATGCTTCCAAGCATCCTAGGAAATCCTCTTGCTACATTCTGTGCTAGGATCCGAGCAGTGTCTTCCGCATTGGGTGTTTGCAAGTATTGCGGTCCAAACACTGCCACCACTGCCCTGCAGAACTTGTAGAAACACTCAATGGTGGTGGACTCGGCCATGCGCCCATATTCGTCGAGTGAATCACCGGGAGCTCTACATGCAAGCATCCTCATAGCTGTCATGCACTTCTGGATGTAGGTGAATCCAAGTGTGTCGGTGCAATCCATCTTGCACTTGAAGTACCTGTCGAACTCCCGGATGGAATTCACAATCCTAAGGAAAAGCTTTCAGCTCATCCGATAACGGCGCCGAAATGTTTTCTCACCGTGCAATGGAGCGTCGGTGAAGTAGTCCAAGTAGAGCATGCAGTAGCCTTCCAGACGATGCTGGTTCTTTGCTTTGACCCGCCCAGGCGCCGAGCCACCTCGACGCGGCTTTTCACTGCTGCAAGCAGGCCGGCGAGGGCGGCGAGCACCATGAGATGCTCCTGCTTCTGGACGTCGGCTTTGGCTTCCTCCTCCAGCAACGCCGCGAGCGACTCCTCATCTTCGGAGTCCATCGCCGGGCCGGGAAAATCACCGAACATCTTGCGGGCGAGGTGGGCGCAAACCCGCCGGTGTACAGGCCCTGCGCGGCCAGAATGCTGGAAAAGGTGCCCAGACGGCGGCGGAGAGGCTGCCTCGGCGAAAACCCCTTCTTTTTCCCGGTGGGAAATGATCTACCTAGCTGCGGTGGGCGGTGGACGGCGCCGGGATCGGCATGGTGGCGCAGGGTGGCGGCTGAGTGCGGGGGGTCGGAGGCGAATCTGGATGGGTGGCTTGACTTTTCGCTGACAATGTGGCCCCAGGAGCGCTTTTCCCTTGCGCCCCCAGTGCACCGGATTCGGCCTGCGATCACCAGGTGTAGAAACGGGCCGAGCCGGCGGAAATCAGTGTCCTGGGGGCGCGACTGGGGCATTTTTTCGGCATCGGCGCCGAAAAAACTGTTGGGGAACGTAGCAATAATTCAAAATTTTCTACGCATCACCAAGATTAATCTAGGAGATTCTAGCAACAAGAGAGAGTGGATGAGCATCTTCATACCTTTGAAGATCGCTAAGCAGAAGCGTTACTACGACGCGAATGAGGGAGTCATACTCGCGGCGATTCAAATCGCGGAAGATCCGATCTAACGCCGAACGGACGGCGCCTCCGCGTTCAACACACATACAGCCCGGGGACGTCTCCTCCTTCTTGATCTAGCAAGGGGAGAGGAGACATTGAGGGAGAGCTCTGGCAGCACGACCGCGTGGTGGTGGAGCTTGCAGTTTCCGGCAGGGCTTCGCCAAGCACTACTATGGAGGAGGAGGTGTTGGGAAGGGAGAGGGTTGCGCCAGGGGAAGGGTGTGGCAGCCCTCCCACCTCCCCTCTATTTATAGGGGCAAGGGAGAGGGGGGTCGGCCCCCTCCAGATGGATCTAGAGGTGGGGCGGCAGCCAAGGGGGAGGCTTGCCCCCCAAGCCAAGGGGGCCGCCCCCTTTAGGGTTCCCCCAACCCTAGGCGCATGGGCCCTAGGGGGGGGGTTGGCACCCAGCCC